AGATGATATGTATCAGTTGATAATTGAACTGATGCATGTCATCTCAAAGTTTTTAATATGAAATGAAGAGCCAATTTACTAATGTTACGTTATCGCTACTGATATATCTAATTTATCAATGTTACATTATCAAAAAATATCTTTCATCACTCTCACTGATCTTTGAACACAAAAATTATTTTAAGAAAATTACGCAATTACCAATTTCAAAACAACGAAGAATTTCGTAATTTTTCTTCTATTAAGAATTTTTTTTTAAATTTATAATAATCATTAGTTGAAATTATTGCTTTTACCGTTTCAAATTTCATTTCTTGTTGATATTCTTAAATTCGATTAACATTCATATCACGCAAAATGCATTCATCCATTCACTTTCAATAAATATTCATACAAGTCAACTTTGTTGTCAAATGAAAATACGGATAATATGAGATGAGTAAAAATGATAACGATATTTTCTCAGGTATCATTCATTCTCACAATTCTCACCAATTTGTCACTCGTAGTTAGTACTGATAGGAAAGAGTTCTAAAATCTCGTTGATTTCGTACAATATAAAGAATTCACTGCAGAAATATTTTGTTTTGCTGAAAATATAAGCAATAATAAGGTCAAATTATCAGTTTCTCCTAATCTTTACAATCATTTTTGTGTTATTTAATGATTCATTGTAATCTTTTTGTGCAATGCGCCGCTATTTTACAAATAGTTGCAAAATGCAATTGTTGTTATAGTGAGTCATACATTTTGATAAATTTAGAAAGTTAACTCACAACAGTTTTGCGGAATTCTTTTATGCTTTCAACCATTTATTGTTCAAATTTCTGCTTCTATTCATTTTATTCATTTCAACGATTATATAAATTGTAACACGAAGAGATGTATTGATCGGATGAAGATGAAAAATGCAAAAATTGGAAACGATCTTTCCAGCTTGCCATGTATGATTTTATTTTTCAAATTTAACTATTCATTTTCTATTGTGTTAAATTGTTAGTCAGTTTTTTTTTGCATACTAAGTTTATATTGGAAACAAACAAATAGTTCTTATTTAATTCTCTGTGAGAATAATATTTAACACCAAATTCATTTTTTCGAAAATAGAATTATTCATGTCTTCTCTTAGGAACCAAAAATTGATTGAAATTATTTTTTAATTTCAACAGCTCATCAAATTTTAATATATCTCAGTCATTTGCAACTATGATATTTTCATTATTCATTGCTTGCTAAGTACAATGTAAATATACAATCATGTGATGATGGCTTAGATTGGTAAACAATACATAATATGTTCTTTAGGTCGGCAGAAAATCAGTTATGCTCAATCAATTAAAAATCTCTATGTTTCGTTTTTATGACTGATAATTTTCAACTATTTGAATCCTTACATTACATTGAATTCTAAAATTCTAACTTTTTAATTTTTTTTTTGAAATTTTATTTAATATAGCGTATTGTATCATATAATTTTGTTGTTATTTATTTCATTTTCTCTCCGTTTAATTTTAGTTTTCAGTAGCACATATATCAAAGAAAAGGAATTGTTTACAGTATTTTGTAGATAATTAAAAAACAATTCGATTGTAAAACGGAAAAAACGGGAGCTTGGGAAGAGATGGATTTGCGAATGGAGCGGTTACCTCAGAGAAGTGTGAAACAGTTTAGACAAAATCATCCATTATTATCAGTTTGTCAGGAGAGTTATATGTACGCAAAACAGTTATCACTGATAATTCTGTCTAATTGATTTGAGATTTCTAAAATCAAACTTTTTAATAATATTATAGATGTGTAAATAAATATAATAATTTTGAAATATTAACGCAATAGAAAAAACATGTCTTTTAAATTAGCATAGAATAAAACTCAGTCTAACTTCAATCTTAATAAGACTAATCACAAAAGATTAGAGAATTATTTTCGTGGTGGTTAAGGCTACATTTTGGTTAGAGTAATTTAATTAAATCAGTAATTCAAATTGAGTTATCAATTTAATTAAATTGCTTTAGCTAAAATTGACAACTCAAATTAATTAAAATTCATTTACTAATATTTCAATTTTAAGGCATCGATTGGAAATTAACGCCCATCGAGTTTATCAATCGGCCTTTGGATACTGCGATCGAAATAGGCTGTTGCTACAAAATTCACCGATAACTATCAATGAGGGACAAGAAAATCAACAACAATCGTACAATAATGCTTATAGTAACCATCTATCAGATCATTCTCAAAACTAGTCAATCTTTTATTATAAAAGCAAAAAATTTGAAAATTTTAAGCATATATGCTTTTTATAATTTCGCAAGTAAATTATATTACATTTTTGAATTTATGAAAATAAAATTAGGAACTTCTGCTATTCAAATTATGACCGACAATAAAGTAATATTTGTGTTGAAACTAATGCAAATTGCTAAATTAAAAGTTGTCAAATTTTCACAGTTATTGGTGGTAGTAATAGGGAGTCAAAGAAAGCCGAATGCAGTCATCATCGAGAATGGTTGCAAATTATGCTAATAACAAATTCAATTTAAATTTTCAGCTTCAATCAATCAATTAAACATGCTAGAATCAAAGGATTCTTCACTTCGTAATCTTATTGATATTTACAAAAACTCCAATAATGCTGTGGAATTTATAAGCAATTTTGAACAATATCTTAGTTTGTGCTTGCCGTCCTGTTAGTGAATCGTTTCTGTCATTTTAATAAAATTAAATTTAATTTCTTAACAACAATAATTTTAATTTCTTCTGTTTACGATGAGAATTTTCATAGTAACAAAATCATCCCACGGTATTAAATTTACCCGAACAATAAAATAATACTTTTCTTGAAAAGTTTTTCAAAATTTTCCGTTTTATTTGATAAAATTTCAGATGCTTGGATTGGATTGATGTTTTTATTAGTCATATGGGGCCTTATACATATAATAGTTGGTTAGTGTTATAAAATTATTAAAGAACAATTTCCATAATAAAATTTGTTAGTCGGATGATATAAAGAAAAAAAAATGAAAACGAACAATACAATTGTTTAATAGCTCAAATTGGAGTTTAAATTTTTGTTTTAACAATTTAAAAACTAAATGTCATAATATTGCATTTAATTTTTGTTATTATTTCAGGTACTATTAACATACCATTTTGTCCATCACGTCCAATGATTCCATTATTTTTAATCGTCATGGGTTGTTTGTACATTTTCTGGGGTTTGCTACGAATCTATGCCTTCTGTCCACGTTCACGTGCAGATACGTTAGGCATTGATTTATCATGTAAAGCACTCGAAATTTTAATGATTGTAACGATACTTGTTTGGCTTTTCCTGGGTAAGTTCAACTGTACTGTAGACTAAGAAATGTTTTCTTCTTTTTTTTAAGATGATACTTTACAAAGCAAAGTAATTAATTAGCAAAAAGGAAAATTTTTGATTATTAAAATTTTATTAGAAATTCACTAAAATGTATTGTAATCTGCTTCAGAAAGTTATCAATTTATCATGTAATATTTTTGTAAAAATTTAAAATTTGTAATGAAATAATAATATTTTATCATACATGAAATTCCAATATATTGTAAAATATTCTAAACATTAAATTTAAAATAAATAATTACTCTGTCGTGTAATTGCCTAGAATCATTCCAATTTTCAGACCCATAATCTAATTTTTTGAAGTAAATTTTAAATTTCACTTATAAAAGTTCACCGTTTCTTCAGGTTCTATTTGGATATACGGTCCGGAACAAAACATAAATTTTGAACGCATTTATTTCCGATCTCACTACTGTGATAGTTTCACTTATTGGACAGCATTTATCAGTGTTACCTTGCATTGGGTGATAATTCTGTTCACATTATCACTTCTATTTTGTTTATTTTGTGTTGGACTCTTAAAGGATGACAAGCAATAAGTTGTGTAAAATTTTTTATTAAAATTAATCAATAAAATATGTATATTTATGTGTTTGCGGTTGTGTGTCCTTTTTTTGCCAAAAGTAATGTCATTCGTTAAATTGAAGAATTTTTCACTAACTTTTTTTTTTGAAAAAATTGAGTTTTGATTTTTAGTGTTTCTTCCGAACTAATTTTTTGCAATACAGTAATACTGATCTGATACAAGAAATGACAGTAAAACAGCTCAAATAGCATGAAAATATTAGCAGCACCGAATATCTCAACTTTGAAGTAAATCAAAATTATTCATTAATTTTTTACTGGATAAGTTTATAGAAAGGAAGAACTAAAAAGATTTAAATTATCAATAATTGAATAAATAGTTTGCTCAGATAAGTATATTTTCGTTAAAAAAAAACATCAAATGTTCTCATTTTTAAAATATGATAAATCGAAAATGGAGAAAAATTTTGCGGCTTTACTGAATTATTAATTAAAAATGGCATAAATGAAATGATCATTTTTTTTTCTATTCAACTTAATCTTGCATTAATATCAAATGTAACTGAGAACTAAATTTTTCATAGCAGTCAGGAAGTCTGAACCTTAACATGATAACTGAAACACAACACACCATCAGACGGTATGAAGTTTATTCGCAGATTACCATTCGCAAATTGAGCCCATGCCCGCTGGTATATTTGGTAGTGCGGTTGTTCTTGGTGGGTTGTATTGCAGGGGTAAAGGTGACGACCTTTGTTTATTTTTTGCTTCTGATTCCGTTTCGGTATTTATTTTTAAAAAATCTTATTAATATCTTTCTCATAGTATATAATGCTAGCTTTTGTTTGATCACCGGATAACATGATTCCCTTCATAAAAGTCTCTGAACTGAATCAAATGATATCATTTGAGCCTTCTATTGTATTTAAGATTTCTGGTTTACCTTTTCATTGAAATTGTGGGATTATAACTGCGGTAATTTCAGCGTTGTATGGCATTATATACAAATTGTCTATTCCGGTGAATTTGGTAAAAATTTAAGCAATGTTTCCCACTGGTAATCCACCTTTTACGACACCTAATGCTCAACAAAACGCCAATAATATGAATTTGGCAGCGGCAGCACTTTATTTACATCCATCGTTGGGCATAACAAATCAAGCGTATACCCAATTTTATCAACAGGTAATTTATCTGGAATTTGGATGATTTCAAACGTTCTACTATTATTATAGATTGTTTGATTTACTGGTTGAAATAAGACTGAGCTGAATATTTCTACTAATATTCAGAAGAGTATTTTTACGGGAATTATGAATTTATGCTTGCTTTGGATGACCTTTAATGAACGAACGATGATGGTGGAAAGTTAATAAGGGCATATTCGCTCTAAAAAAATGTCAAACTGTTCCAAAAACTAAAATTCAGTATTCTCTTTGAATAAGAGAATTCGCAGTTTTTTAAGAAGCCTGCAAATGTTCAAATAATTTGATACATTTATCCATATTGTTTTTGATTTTACGTTTAATTTTGGTTGATTTGTCCAAAGATTTGATATTTGAGCTTTGATATTTAGAGCTTTATTTTCAGGCTCAAGGTCAAGCGCAATTAACTCAGCAACAACAACAACAGCAACAGCAACAGCAACAACAGTTACAGCGCCAGTTTGAGCAACTAGTGGTGGCACAAGCGGCGCAGAATGCCCATGTTCATTTACAAGCAATTCAGGTTAATTTCAAATGATTTATTTGATTAATACAACTTCTTATTAATCAAAAAGAAAGAAATTTGAATCTTATAGCTTACTATTGAGCTATATATCATATATCATTTCGACAAGTGGGGTCAAGATTGAATAGTGCTTAGAATGTTTATGGTCAAATCCATGAATTTTTTCGTTTTTTTAGCAACAGCAGCAGCAACAAGCATTTCAAAATCAGCAGACTCAAGCACAGAATCAGCAAAAAATGCAAGCTGCGCAACAGCATGCACAATTACAACAAAGTCAAGCACAAGCTGTCCAAATACAACGCTTGAATGCATTAAGGCAAAGCAATCAGCATGTGTCACATTCTCATTCGATCCGAGGATCTACACCTGATGTTGTGAAGTCACGTCAGGTATTAATATTACTATTATTCTTATTTTTTCTAAATTTCTTTTGGAAGATTTAATCTTTTACTAAAAAAGAGAATGTACGAAATTGGCAAATTTCAATTCCGCACATTTTCTTGACATCAGCAATTCCATTTCACTCACAAAGTTGTAATAGAAAATAAAATTATTTCCTTTTTCAATTCTTAATGTAAAACGGAATTTTTATCCTCACCCAAAAATTTTATGTTTTCGATAAGGAAAAAAAGTTATTTTCAATTCAAAACTGAATTGGTCGGTAAAAATTCTTCCATTTGTAGGAGATTCAGGCTGAAGCGGATGCTCGCCGACGGCGTTCATTAATTGCAGATTTTATGGTTGCATCAAATTCGGCCACATTTTTAGGTAATATTAACTGGTAATTGATCTGTAGTGATTGAACATTGCGATCGGATGTCTAAGAGATTAACATTTCCAAACTGTAGTTGCCTTCCCAAAGACTATGTTTTCAAACACAAATCATTAAATGCATAATGCATGAATTTCAGATGAAAGAAGACGTTCGGATTCTATCAGTGGTGGTTTATTTGGTGAAATGAAGAGATCAGAAACAATGGGCAGTGAATTCAGCTTGATCGCTGATGAAACAACAGAACGCAAGAAGAATTCAATAACCGACCATTTGGAAGCAGTTGAAAAAGAGAAAAAGCTTGTTGATAGTCAGATTACTATTATACAACGGAAAAAGGTATGCATGATAGCTTTTATTAAGGATAGAATTAATCTCCACTATGAACTGTACAATAGGTGAAATAGTTTTCCTATACAGTCATATATTTTACCGTGACCTATCATATTAAAAATAATTAAGCAGCTGTTTGGTATTTAACTTTCATTATGATTATTATCTGTTACATTGAAAGAAGATTATCGCTTTATGATTGTAGGAACAGTACGAAAGTGAATTGGCTAAGATATCGAGCGATAGCGCAGATAATGATAAAGAAAATGATGACACTGCTGAAGATATCGATTCAATGAGTCTAGTTGAAAGAATTTATGCTGAAAATCGAAAGAAGGCACATCGGGCTGGAGCTCAAATGCCTTCTGTTCTGGCGCCTTCAACTGCAACAATTGTGTGTTTGTTACGAAATGCTTTACATTCGCTAATTTAATAATTTTTATAGCATATTTATATAGAAGTTTTTCTGTACGAGTTAGAGTAAAAGACTTTTTTAAATAATGCAGATTTGTTTGTTAAATAATGCAAATAAATTGAGAAACAAATATATTTACAGAAATAAGTGAAATGATTGTAACAATTTTGATGTGATAAGGGAGAGACATAACCTTTTAAGAATGACTAGCGTCATTCTGTGTCAAAGTTTTACATTATATCAGTAAAGACTAGTACAATATACATACCTTTATATTTTCATCTATATTTTTAAGTATAATATAGCGCTACTCATCGTTTTATAAACATAACATTATGTTTAAGTTGGTGTGATTTTGCAATGTACACAACTCATTACCCTTTTTTGAACCGAAATCGTTCGCTGAATGATCAAATTTTCAGCCGCAATATCGGAATCCATGGGACAGCGCCCTAGTACAACAGACGATTGAGCGATACAAAACGGTGAAGCCTTATCTAGTGAAAATGCTAACAGAGCATCGGCAAAACGATTTGCTGGCGCAAAAATATCAAACTGAAAAATACAATGTGATGTATGCAGAATGGTTGAAGAAAGATGAAAGATACTGCAAAAGTCAGAAGAAAGTGTAAGTTTTGCTTTTTCATTTCTCTTTGAGGTGCTTATTAGTGCTGACTATTATTTGAAGCGAAGCAGTTATTTTCCAACATCCTGCTTCATTTTTTATAGTGCTCGTGATGAAAAGCATCGTGAAATATTTGAAAAAACGTTTCCGGAATTGAAAAAAACGCGAGAGGAACGAGAGCGATGTGGAAGAATTGGACTTTTGTCCATAGAGCAATTGGAACAGGTTAAATGAGTTGCAAATTAGATTCTTATAATAATTTGGCTTACTATTTTATTTCTGAGACAAGTTGATAAAATTTAGCTGATAAAGTGAGGATGTATAGTTTAAAATTTAAAGGATTCCTTTTCTTGGATCGATATTACACAGCTGAATACTTGAGCCGTCATTATAGACGCAAAAGTTAAAGCTTGATATATTATCGTAGTCCTCTAGAATGTGAAATAAGGCCAGATACTTCAGACTGTACTATCCAACCCAAGGAGTGTTCGGTATCGATAAGGGAAAGAAAGGCGAAACATCCATTGAAAGTATTAGTAAAAAGTAACGGATAATAAATATTTTTTTAGGCATTTGTTATCTCTTTAATATTTTATTACCATGACGATATTCTCCGATAAGTTGTAGTGCACTTATTGATTTCAATATTAACGTTTAGAATGATTTTGAAAACTTGTTTTTAGCTTATATTTCGATAATATTATGTTAATGTAGTGTTACAGGATGAAGAGTATAAAAGACGACGTGCAGCTGCTGCATTACCACCGATGATGATGAATGCAAGAATGCGCAATGCGCCATTTTATGTAGATTTGAATGGAGTTGTCGTAGATGCGCTGGCGGATCATAATGCTCATATTGAATATTTCTTGGAAAAGTGGACAGATGATGAGAAACAAGTAGGACAGTTTTTTTGTAAATTTTCCCATTCGATCATTCTTACCATTATTATTTTGAATACCGATAAGTGAGATAAAAAATGCTTGTTTTGGCACTTATCGGGTTTTTTACAGACTTTCAGGGAGCAAATTATTACATATGGCAAAAATTTTGCGGCTATAGCTGAATTTCTTGATCGAAAAAGTGTAAAAGATTGTGTTCTATATTATTACTTGACCAAAAAGCGTCAAAACTACAAAGCATTGATGGGAAAGAAGCGGAAAAAGCCACCAAGATGTTACAAACCACCAGTAATGCCACGACTTGAAGAAGTAGCATTAAAGGCACCGCAGGATGCTAATGATGTGACCAGTAATTTTTTTCTTCTTTTTTTTTGATTTTATTACCTCAAAACTTTAAAATTTCAACATTTGAATATTTTTATGGAAGGGGTTTTATGATATCTAGCTATGATGACAGGTTTTTTTTAGAAACAAGATGCTCGAGCTGTCATTCACTTCCATAACCATATTATTATTCCATATCTCTGATGCAGTAAGACAAAACTATAGAGATCTAGAGATGTATAGGTTTCTGATATTATTTTAATTCCATCCACAAATTCAGGATACAGATTGATTTTAAATTGATTGCATAACTATTAAGTACAAGTTTATTCTACTGTTATATTATGCACTTTTAATTAAAGTTAAAATTTAACTATCATACCATATTCTTTTGTTACGACTTGAAAAGATTGTTGGTTCTTATTTTTGCTTTTGAAAAATTGATTTATACTTAGCATTAAAGTAAGAATTGTATTAAAATTTTTTAGACACAGACTGCTATGCAGAAATTCTAGTCTTAACTTTTAATTCAATTTCAGTTGTTGGTTCGCGAGAACTTGAGTGTTGTATTTGTAAAGCGAAAGTGATTAGTGGTTCAAATACTGGTCGAGTACTTACTCGTTTAACATTGGATGCATCCGGTTATGATGCCAGCTCAGCGAACGAAATCGATATTTGTGTATGCCAAAAGTGTAAGGCAAAAGGAATTAAACCAAAAACTGTAACGTATGTGTTTAATTTAAATACTTTTTGAATGGTAAAATATTTAAATATATATTGGTGAAATATATATTTAAATAAATATATTACTAAATCCAATCGTTTTTGTTTTCTTTTCGAAATTAATTAAATTGTGTTTCACGTTGTAGACGTTGCCAAATTGGTACGTGCCACAATCCGCGTCGAAAAGTGAAGCCAACGCGACCAATGCCAGTGAAATGGAAATTAATAACGGATGAACAGAAACAGTTTTTAATGCATCAGATGTTGATACCAGAAGATATTTTAAAATGTTGCCCCGCGTGTCATAAGAAGATCTCCAAACAGTTGGATATGGTAAAATTTTTAAATGATGACAATGTTGCAGTGTTTAAATGATGACAGTTGATTATAAAATTTTACTGCATTTTGAATGCTCTATATTTTGGATATTTAATCCCAGATTTTTCTCCTTATTCATCTTCAATTAACTTCTGATACTTCAAGTATATGCCATCTTATTCTTTAATTTTAGATTGCTTTTGAATGATGTCGGTACATTTTGTCGTTAATTGTCAAAGAAACAGTAAACTGTGTGAAGTTGGAATTTTAGTGGAAAATTTTGCATTTTTTAAGTGTTTTCACTAAACAAGTTTGTTTCAGCTTATCGCTGGTGAATTAGAAAAAGAAATGGCTTTATGGCGGAAATCTTCTTCTGTTATTTGGAGTACTGAAGAAGTGGAAGCATTATGTGCCGCAGTCACCTCAATGAGTGGAAAAGATTGGGATGCTGTGGCTGAAAAAATGGGCAATAAGCATAGTGCCAAGGTGTGTTAACTGTGAAAGTTGCAGTAAAAGAAGCTTTGAAAATAGTGGATGAAGTGATGATTTAATCATAAACTTGAAGTGGGTTTGTTCCTGTCACTTCAACTAACTTTTTCAATTCAGCAATGCCGAGAGCAGTATGAAAAGATTTGTGTTATGGAAAGCGTTAAAAAAGAAGTAGAAAGCGAAGATGATGTTAGTGAAGACGAGAGAGAAAATCCACAACCACAGCAAGATGCTGTTGAGGTTAAAAATGATATTGCAGAAACTGAACCGGATCCGAGGTTCGCGCTTTCTGTTCCGTAGGTTTTCCGTTTAATTGCTTTATGAATAAATTATCGAACTTTTACCGGGACAGAATGTAAATACTGAAAACAAGATGGTTAGCAGCTGATTAAAATCATTTATTTTGATATTTTTGACTTTTATAAGTCCTTCTGATATTTAATTTTTCAATAAATATCTGTTGTCCACAGTTATATTATAGTATAATTTTAGCGGTGAAAGCAGTGCAACGTTAAGTGCTGATGAAGCACCCAGTCAGGACGATTGCATCATTTTATTACCTCCAGTTGCAAAATCACCATCAACACATTTATATAAACCAAGATTTCGTGGTACTTCCGGACTGGGTTCAGAAACCCCGATTTTATCTGTTAGTAGTTCCCATTTGCACCTGTCACAAGTCAAGAACGAATCAGAGATTATGTCATCTCCGTTAACGTATCATAAATCTGACGCAAGTGCCTCCTCGTCGTCCGATCTTTCGAACATAGATGATATAGCAAAAACGACATCTCTACCATTACAATCATCTATTGTTGGAAGTGCACTTCTTGCAACACTTACTTCCTCCACTCCAGATTCGATGCCTGCACGATCTTCTGCTCAGGTTTATGAAATTTTCAAGCAGTCCGATTTAAATACATAAACGTATATTAATCCTAATATACATTTATGTACGTTCTAATGTAGAATATTAAGCAAAGAGGATTGTGCTTCAGTGAGATGAATGAATTGAATCATTAGTATCTCGATCTTACTCAAATTAGAAAATTTTTTTAACCAATCAACGACAAATTTCTACATTGATTATAGTAAATCCGAATAATTTTAATTATATTTGAGTGTCAACTCTATAATTGAGCAGTACTACTATTCAAGGAAATTTATAACTGAGTAATAATATTCAAGATGATAATAATTTTAAACATTATTCTTTTTGTCATAATTGAAATGCTTTTTAAGATGGAAATCGATAAATTATCTCAGTGTTCAGTTCCAATAACCAGATCGCCAACTTCAGCAGTTACCCAATCAGTTTCATCTGCACTTGGAAATATTGTCAGAGGTTCAATCACGCAAGGTTTCATTATTTTTCTTCATTGAATTAAAAAATTATCTATCATTTGCATACACATATTTCACTTCAAAAGACTTTCTGACTTTGTTCGATGAAATTGTTCAAAATTATTTCGAGGCACCATTGTTGTTATAAGTTGATTTCATCATAGCTATCATGGCGAATGAAAATTATTATAATTTCCATTAAGAATGTGATATTAACAATAAAATTGATAAGATTGCTTTTTACTTCACTTTCAAATATTGATGTATTCATAATTAGCCTGACCAGTGAATTTTTCCTTATTTATAGGAACGCCAGTGATGAGGCCACCAACATCACCTACTGCCAATAATGATTTATTACTGGAAAAAGTGAAACAAATGCAAATGCTTTCTGCTGGAACAGTCGCTACGGGAGCACCTTTAGCAGCAGCGGTAGCAGCAGTCAGTAATATTGCAACAAGTTCCACGCCACCAGTACCAACACCGACACTACAACCCATTGCAAACGCGGCTGCTGCACTTCCTTTTTTACAGAATCCTTTGGCAGCAGCAGCTGCTGCTGCATTCCCTACTGCTGCTGCTGATCCAAATATATCATCGTTAGCTGCTTTCTATAATCAACTAGCTGCAATGGATCCTACTGTGCAAGTGAGTATCTTTCTTTCCTTTTAGAGAAATAGTCTTTAACTATTTTTTCTAAAATTTAGGAAACTTGTAATTTACATCTTCATGATCTAAAGACTTTCAATACTTTTTTGCAGTATGCTATGACAATGAAAATAATGCAGCAGGCTGCGCAACACCATGAGTATGAACGTCGATTGGCTGTACTACGAGGTTAATTTTCTTTAGTATTATTTTTTTCCATTGATGGTTTTTTTGTTTCCTTTAAGGTCGTAAGTTACGAGTTAAGTAATTTAATTAATTCAGAATTAAGGGAAAATTTAAAACACCGCTGGATTTTTTAGCAAGCAGTGTAGTTGACCAATATCGACAACAGGCTTTAGCTTTGGGTCTTTCTGAGCAACAGCAACAACAGATGCAGAACAATCAGCAACAGCAACAAATGAATGCATTAGCAAATGATCAAGCAAAACTTTTGGTCAGTTTTACTATGAGAGAAAAAAATGAAAGGATATTTTTCCGAAGTCATTCCGACTAACTTTTAAAATCAGTTTGCTCAAATTATGCTTGAATTCTTTGAAGTTATGGCAACAACTGATGCAGCAATCAGCTAATATGAAGCCGTTGCAACAACAACAACAGCAACAAACAGTACCCCAAACAATTAATTTGCAACGTACTGCAGCGGCAAATACATTGTTAACTGCAGCTGCAGCATCTACAAATGTACGTCCAGCGCATTTAAGCATTAATTCAAATGCTGAGCAGCAGCAGCAACCAAAACAACTTATTCCATCAGCAACAGCATCGGCAACAGTACCTACAAATATGCTAATTAAAGTAGCAACAGGTAGCACAGAGCCACAACGTACATCCGTGCAGCCACTTTCCTCAACAGCTTCTCAAATCTACAACGATTTTCGTAATGCTGAACAGATGCGTAAAGAACTCGATGAAAATGTGCGACAAGCAGAGGCACAACAAAAACTTGTAAGACATATTTTTGTATGCTTATATGTTGCTGATGTTTTTTACTGTTGCCAATGTAATAATGATAATGTCTCTTTTTCACGGATAATTGGAAGATAGACTCGCGGGAAGAGTTCATTCAACGTTAGACATAAAACAAATATTCAGATATATCATTCTGTCTTTTTTAGCAAGAAGAAATCCACTATCTAGAACAGCAGCGAAGACGCGTCGTAGAAGTAAGTTCTGTTTTACATATATTGTACATTAGCAAATAAATTTGATAATTCCATTTTCGTTAAATTCCTAGATATGAAGAATAACAAAAAAGAGAGATTATATTTTTGAAATATGCTGTAGAATTCTTATTCATTTATTGACCTGCTTTAATAGTGGGTAAGATTGTTGGAAGGTAGATTTCAAGAAATCGAGATCACTTATTTTTGTTAAAAATATGTTTCGGAAATATTTATTTTTAATGAATTTTTCGGAACATTTTAGGAGGAAGCTCGTATTAGTGATGAATTAAGTCGATTGTCACAAATTGAGTATCCACGTGCTATACGATCGCAAGATGGTGAAGCTGCACGTATTCATCTGCAAACTATAGAACGTCTTAAGGAACGACGTACAGCAATGCAGCATTATTTGCGAGCTTATGACGAGGGATTAAAGTCACTCAGTGGTTAGTTTTGTCACATTTTTGTTTCTAGGCTTATTTAGAAAATCCGTATGTAGGCTTTATTTTCACGAGTACTGCTCCTTCATCGCTAAAAATGATATATTAGACGTTCTCACCGGTTTCATAAAAAGTGATTTCCGTTTTTCTAAATTTTCAACTTTAATATTGATCTTTCTCTACTAAATATTTTTTTATATTAATTTTCAGGAAGAAATGCGTTAACTCTTTCAAGCTCTTCTGGGGTAATAGTGAGAGGTATGGGTGATGAACGTACCACTGGGGGTCCTGTTAGCAAAGGTGCCATGAAGGAGTTTCCTCCATCGGTAGCTAGAATTGGAGTTACGCCATCTTCAACACAAACTGTGTCTGGTCAGAGTCTGATTGGCATAAAACGAACATTGAACGATTCTGCGCTTGCAACAGCAGTTGAAGGACGAGTAAGTATTGATTTGTTTAAACTATTATATTTTTGACCTAAATACGTGGTTAGAATTAATTTAAAAAGTAGTTGCATTAATAAATTATCTGCTTTCTCTAGTCTTTAAAGACAGTAAGATGTGAAAATAATGTTATCAGGAAAAGGAACTTAAAATCAAATAAATAATGCATCTTAATTTGCTGGAATTTCTTCGTCTAAAATTTCATACTCACGCAATCAATGTTTTCATCTTGCTATAGTGTGAATAAAATGTCAATGAGATATTTTGAAATTTAAAAATAAGTCTGCTCGGATTTTGCTAACATTATTTTGCAGCTTGCTGGACATAACACGTCAAACGACTCATCTATGTCTGAAGGGTGTACTACGAATAGACGTTCACGTGTTGACCCTGTCATACATCGCAAAGGTTGATACTTTGTAACTATAAATTGTAGTTCTTGTAGTACACGACTTTTTTACATGTATCATATGAGACGATTAAAACAGAATGCAATGAGACATGTGAGTGACTGAAAACATATTCTACCTTTGTAGGACTGGACAGCACAATGTTTGATTCAGGTCAAACATCACTTCTTTTGCGTACACATTGCCATAATATGCTTTTGGATGACGAATTTAATCGCGCTGAACATAGAAATATGCAGAGCAGCTGTGAAATTAAGCGGAAATCAGGTAATTTTTAAATTCAAACAATTTTTCCAGGTTCTGAGAATGGAAAAGCATTTAGATCAATTTGTCTCCAATTTTTTAGCCTGGTTTTTGGAACACTGTTACAATTGGAAATCTGATAGAAATTTCAAAAAAGTGCCAGTATGAAATAATCAATTTCAGTTGTTGACTTCGATCCATTCCAAAAAATCCCTACGTTTTCAGGTATTCATACTGTTTATTTACCATCTTTGCCAGATGTTCATCATGCTCCAAGTGTAAAAACGCCTGTCGCAAGTCAAAAGCGTGTCGGGTCACCGACTGCTACTGCAGCTACGCATTTTGATTGCATCACACCTAATAATTCCGCACCTACATCTCCATATTCGCAATCACTTATAGCTCAAACAGCAGCAGCAACATCCGTATCTCGAACATCTCCAGCTCAACAACAACAGCATTTTTCCCATTTTGTACCCACTTTGCAGCAACATCAAGCCAGATTTTCATCGTCACAACCAACGTCTTCTCCAAGTACTGCAGCCGCTTCTCCACATGGACTTTCAGCGACTACCATCCTTGGACGTCCAGCTGTAAGCCCCGCAACTAGTTATACTTCTGGGGTACGTACTCCGGTTTCCGCACTCGTTTCACCGCGGACACCTCTTTCTATCAATCCAAATCTGTCAAGTTCACATTCCACACATGTTTCACCACATAATTCATCAAGTTTACGCGTTCCAACACCTACTACGTCTCCATTTCAGGTTTTTGATATTTCTTTAGTAAGAGAATATAGTGAGCAATATTCTATAAACAGTTTTTGAAAAAATGTTTTTGAAATTTGAGAATTGGATATATGGCAGAAGATGAAGCATTTAAGATGAGGCATTTATAGATGAAGCATTTAAGTTAGACATGCAATTTGAAAAACAAGGAAGAGCTATAGTATTCTGAAATCAATGTTGGGGTCAATTTGTATAAAGTTTTAAGTTTTTTGATTGAAATTTAGTCATATATCCAATAGAACTTTTTTTTTATAAGTATGCATGAAATGGCTTCTTTTTTTGGTTTTGATAATCTGAACAACAAGCATATTTCTCGATCATTTAATGAATGCCTTAGCTTAAATCTTAACTGAATGTTATGATGTGTTTGTCATGTTTAATTTTTCGGTCTTTAAGCTTTGTGTTGTTATGACAATCCATCGATTGTCGCTTTTTATACTACAAAATTGACTTTTGAAGACAATCTTGGTTCATTGAATATTTTTTAATGTCACTGTAAAGCAAGTAATTTCATTTTTCCAAAGGCATTTTAAAAACAAGTTTGCACTGTTATAGATGTTGGCATTAGGAACCATATCGCCAAATATATCATCTCAAGGTATCTCCAGTTCGCCGACATTCCAAACATCGGCAGTTGTTCCTGGAAACACTTTAAGTGCATCGCTTCATTCATTGCATGTAACAAGTGTGGCAGATAATAATGATGGTGGTGCAGGAATGAATACAGCTGAAGTATAATGCATACCATTTACTAAAATTAGAGCTGTAGTTATTCGATAGAACTTAATAAATTTGTTATTTTCGCAAGCTATAATAGTTTATAGTTTGCGTGAAACATATAGTCATTTAGATTTGCGTTGATTTATTGATAAAAATTGGGTTGCAAATTGTACAAATAATTTCAGAACGAAGAAAAAGAAACGCTTATTGAAAATCAGCAACGTTCGGAATCTGTTGCTGTTGCCAGTTATGAACCGCTGTCACCTGATACCTCCGATGTTGCTCCTGCATCCCAGACAGGTTATCAACTTTCTCTAATTCGATCTAATTTGAATTTACGAATCAAAATTCTTTCATATTCAAACTCAAATTTCTAGACTGTAAAATCCCAATTAAACTGTTGTTTAGCAATTAGGAAAAGGAAAAATTAAATAAAAAGGGATTTTAAGACATCTATTGGAAAAAAAAATTTTAATTATTCGTTTTTTAATGGTGGTATGTATCTAAAGATAT